CCCAGTTACGGCGACCAGAGCCGCTGACTACCATACTTGGTGTCTCCCTCTTCAAGGCCCATCTGACATTTGGCCACACAAACATGCAGCAGCGTTTCCACAACAGACCCAAATGGAAATGGTGTTGACGCAGCTTGACAGTGCACTGTAGCAACGCTTTTGTGCTTCATTGCAATTCCGATTCGTGGACTTTTCTTACCGGTACCGCTCCCCGGCCTTCCTGTCCAAGGTTGTCTGCCTCATCCGGTAAGTACTGGACTTTCCTTCGATTTAGCTGCTATTTTTGGGACTTGGGACTTTTGTCACGGACTGGGCTTCTCTGTGCTAGATTCTTTCGTCAGACATTGACCGACTCTTCAGAAGGTTGAACCCTACGAGTCTTCCCAGGATGCTTGGACTGATGGATAATGACTCACGACTTTGCCCAGAGTTGCAATACCCCTAAGAAAAGTGGTAAACTTTGCTCACACCAACCCTGCAATCGTAGCAGACTGTTGGACCAGTGTTGGTCCAAAACCCTGACAAGAACGGCAGTATGTTGTCTGAGAAGCTAATCCATCACAGGCTCGCAGCCATAAAACCCAGTGTGGGTGTGGGTGTGGGTGTGGCTGTTGTCGTGCTTGCTAGACACGAGAAAAGCATGCTTGTGCCAGACGTTTTGGTCAGGCTTTCAGTGAGTCATCAGGAGTTTGAACACCGACATTCTGAAAGGATGCATGTGACTGATAGATCAGGACTTGCCATGTCACCCAGAGTCAGCAGTACCCCTGAGTCTGCCCATGATGGATGTGACTGATAGATCAGGACTTGCCATGTCACCCAGAGTCAGCAGTGCCCCTGAGGAAAATGGTCGAATTTAGTCACACTAACCCTGCAATCCTAGCAGACTGTCAGTCCAAACCCCTGCCATGTGCGCATGTATGTCTGTGTGTGTGTATTGTCATGTTCACTGTACACAACTCCACTAAAGAAAGCAAGACTGTGCCAGACTGTTTCGTCTGACTTTCACCGGCTCAGCAGGAGGTTGTGTGTGTTTTGTGTCGGCGCATGTGTGTGTGTGTGTGCGTGTGTGTGTGTGTGTGTGTGTGTGTGCATGTGTATTTCACACTGCCACCACAGCCACCCTTTTCCACCCAGATGAGTCGATCCAAATTTGGAACAGCCTTATATATGTGTGTGTGTGTTATTAGTAACTTATTACGATAACCTTCAAAGACTCTGTTTAAGTCTTGGATTTTTAGCCATGCATTTTGGTGATAGAGTATGCAGTTTGCTGTTCTTGTGAAGAGTGGACTTGCAATAGAGCCCTCTTAGGGACATGTAGTCCTTATGATGCACGTATGCCATGCATTGTAGGCGAGAAACAATCATGCGACATTCGGGCAGTTCAACATTGTCACATTATTTTTGTTGTTGTTTGTAACAGTGCAGGAAGGATTTGCGTAACGAGGAGAAATCAAACAGGGACGCTCAAGAGGTAGGTCTTCACCTTGCTGATCCCATCATTCCTGGAATGAGCCACATCAGCATTAAATTACTACTACTGCTGGCATGAGTGCCATGAGATGTTTCTTTGATATTAGCATGAGGACAAACTGTTGGCGTCAACTCTCATACCAAGGGGTGTATACACATACTATACAGGGGTGTATACACATACTGTACAAGGGTGTATACACATAGTATACAGCCAGAAGACATGCGTGCTATTTATTAGCTCCCACAGTGAAGCAAAGACAGTTGGAAGGGTCAAAATCATGAAAGCCAAAGGCAGTTCTCACCTCACATGATTCCTGCTTTTTTATGAACCCACTATTCCCGCGGCGGATATCTGTCTGCGTGTATGCACGAGAGTGTGTGTGTGTGTGTGTGTGTGTGTGTGCGTGTGTGTGTGTGTGTGGTATGCACCACATGGGCCCCTTGGGCCCGTACTAGGTTAGAGGGATAGCCAGAGGTTAGGGGTCCATTAGTCTCCTTTTTCGAGCCTCAGCAGTCTCCCATTAGCTAGAGTCAGCCCCTTCCCTCCAGCCCGGATGTATCTGACTTCATATGAGGGCCGATGCAGGCCCAGTGGGCGTCAGTTCGGCCAGTCACACTTTTCAGTTCTGGGCACCAATCTCCTGGGCGCTACCATTTCAGTTCTGGGCAGCAGTCTCCTGGGCGCCATCTTCTCTATGGGCGCCATATTGCATTCTGCCACTTTTCAGTTTGGGTGCCAGACTTTTTCGTTTCCAGTCAGGGTGGACAGTCTCCTGCCACTTATCAGTTTGGGCGCCAGGCTTTTTTTTTTTTTTTTTAAGGGTGACGGTCTTGAGATATCATCATTGAGCTGACCGGCCCTAGGCAATTCGGAAATATTTGGTTTTACTCATCAAGTTCCATCATCATCTGGATTCGAACAGGGTCTGTATTTCAACAGTTCAATGGTGTAGGCCCCAGGCTTTTCATTTCAGTCTGGGCGCCAGTCTCCTGGGCACCAATTCCTGTCTCCAGTTCGAAGGCTCCCTTCAGCAGTAGGCCCAGCAGTATATATAGCTGGCCCATTCGGACACAGAGTTGGAGGTAGAGTAGTCGACGCGCTGGGCGCAGTAGTAGTAGACTTCAGCACTGGGCGCTCTTCACGTTGACGACATCACCTTCGAGCTTGGGCTGCAGCACACTGCAGCGGGACTTAGAGGAGTAGAGGATGAGGCGGAGGCCAGGGGACTTACCTGTCGACTTACCTGCAACGCCATAGCTCCAGCTTTGTCTTCAGCACGTCCATATGTGCATCAAGGCGCCACCTTTCTGCAGGTCAGCAGTACTAGGTTACATCAGAGAGAGAGAGAGAGAGAGAGAGAGAGAGAGAGAGAGAGAGAGAGAGAGAGAGAGAGAGAGAGCATTCTTCTTCTTCTTTGCTTTTCTCCCTCCTGTCCTCCATCGCTGCTGCTCCTTTCCCTCCGGAGCTCTTCACCTTCTTCTGAGTATGAGAGAGAGAGAGTTGACAGTTGAGATTGGGTGACGTTGGACCACAGACTGACATTGGACCGAGACATTGGGTGAGACTATTTGGACACTTCACGAGTGACAATTCAGTTGATGGGATCTCCATTGCTCCTCCTCCGTCGTCTCTTCCCTCTCCTCTTCATTTTTGGATGTTTGCTGGTTTGGCGCCCTTCGCCTGTGTATTGGGCGCCAGGGCCCCTCTCACCCTGCCTGATGATGATGAGTGTGATGCGGTCAGTTCATGTCATTTGAATCAGATCATTGTATATCCACTGCGCTAGTTGTGTGTTCTCTCTCTGGGTCGGTTAGGCATGCAACAATTTATGCGTGCGTGCGTGCGTGTGGAATGGGTATTCTGAATGGATGAGTGACTCTCTGTGTGTGTGTGTGTGTGTGTGCAATGGCTATTCTGAGTATTGCCATGATTGATGTGTTGATCAGGTGTGTGTGGCCATTTGTATGTGTGGAATGGGACTATTCTGGCTCTTCTTGTGATATGTGTGTGTGTATGTCTGTTGGGGGGGAGGGGGGGAGATTGTCTAGAATGGCTGACTTCTTTCTTTTTTTGTTTTCTTGAATTTCTTTGCTATTCTGAGTATCTTCTTCTTCTCCTCTTTTTTCCTTTCTTCTTTCTTTTTTTTCCTACGTTCCTCTCTGGGTAGCACTGCGTTGTGCCCGAAAACGCGCGTACGCATATGTTATTTAGTAATATTAGTTAACAACTTGGAGCAATATTGATACCATATACCATTGTCTGCGTGGTAAACGGTACGTATTGGGCGGCTTTGGGCCTATGAGCGCCCCCGAGGATCATACCCATGCACGCACACACACTGTCACACACAAACACACACACACACACACACATTTTCTGTCAGTCGGTCTGGTTGTCAGACAGATGTCTGAAACCTGGCTGGTCGTTCAACAGTCAGACAGACATTGCAACAGAGTGGGTGACCAAAGGACAGACAGAACAGAACGTCACCTGGACAGACTGACGTCTTCCTCCTCTGCCCCATGCCCGTCTATGCAGTCCTCCCCAGTCAGGGAAGCAAAAAAAAAAAAAAAAAAAAAGATGATGCGGAAGTGTCGTCTTCCTCGTCCGCGGTCGTCCTCTTCATTGTCCATCTCCCCATGCCCATCTTCGCAGTCCTCTTCCCCATCGTCCTCTTCCACCTCCTCCTCGCCATCTTCTTCCTCCTCCTACTCCCCGCCGTCCTCTTTGTTTTCGTCCATCGCGTCAGCTTTTTTTTTTTTCTGCAGATCATCTACAGTAGATGATAAGGGGGAGGAGGAGGAAGATGGAGAGGAGAGAGACGAGGAAGATGGCAATTGGGAGGGGGAGGAAGACAAAGAGGAGATGATAAGGGGGAGAAGGAAAAAGACGAGGAAGACGGCAATGGGGAGGAGCGAAGATGTCGGGTTACAGGACGAGGAGGATGACGAAGACGATGCTAGGAAGGAAGAGGGCAAAGATGTCGGGTTATAGGATGAGGAGCACGACGACGACGACAGGGGGGAGGAGGAGAAAGTAGACTTACCAGCGATGGCGACTCCCGGCGACGGCGGCAGCTGGACGGCGAGGGCACGGCAGCGGCAGGCCTCCACGAAGATGGCGATGACGGCAGCTCGACGGCAAGGGCATGGCAGCGGCTAGTGGTGTCAGCAATAACGTTCGACCCGCGCGGCGATGGCGACGAGCAACAAGCCGGAAGAGCACAACTACAGCAGGGTGGAGGGGTGACGCGAGGAGGGAGGGGGGTAGACTTTCCCCGCGGGGTAGATCTCCCCCGTGCCCAGCGTCACCCCTCCACCCTGCGCTGGGCCCCAACGGGCTATTCCAGCCCACCCCTAGGCCTACGGGGCCAAAACTGGCCCCCCAAGTGGCCCGCTACCACCACATACGCGGGCCCTGAAAACGGGTACGCGTGTACACGTATGCGGTATGTACGCACGTACGCGGAGCACGTGTACGTGTACGTGGTGCTACGCAGGTTCCCCTTTCCTTTTTGTTCTTCTCTTTGTCGTCTTGGCTATTCTGAGTATTTTCTTTTTCTTCTGCTCTGTTCTTCTTAACATGGATGGCCCAGATGCACGGCCGATCTTAGAAATTTGTGACCAGTTGCACATCCAGGCCGCTTGCCGGTCCTTCTTCGGCATCCAATCACTAGTGTCTGACCCTTCCTCAGTTCATGTTCGTCTCTTCGGCATCCAATAACTGGTGTGTGACCCTTCCCTCCTTTGGCATCCAACTGATTAGTCCCAGTTGCCAACTGGTTGGCTGCATGATGATCGGCGGTGGGACAACCCTGATTCCAATTACCAAGTCAAATCTCACGGCATGCAAATGAAACTGCTTTCTTGGATAGTCTTATATGCGCTGAACTTGGCACTGGGACTGGAAATCTGGGTCTTTGGGACTTGGGACCATGGACCTCAGATTCCTTCTTATGGCTGAATTGCTAACAAACAGAAGATGTTCTCTGGCTGGTTTATCAACGTATTGTTGCTGGGAGAGGGAAAAAGGGGGGGGGAGGGAGGGGGCGTCGGGTGTGGGAGGACGATGTGTTTGGTTGAGAGTAAGAGTGAAACTGAGTGCAATTGGATTTTGGTTATGACAAATGCAGGGATACAACCTTTGCACGGACGAATCAGTTCTCTTGCAGCAGAACTTGACATCTGCTACGGAGAGGCTCGATCATTGTGAACAGAAACTTCGCACCGCAACCCGGTAAGAGTTAAGCCACCTGATCATTGTGAACAGAAACTTCACACCACAGTTGGGCCCAGTTCCCAGCTAATAATGAAATTGTTTACTTTTGTTTCAAAAAAAAAAAAAAAAAAAGTTGAACCACCAGGTTGTTGACCCAAGTTAGTTTTCAATCTGTTGTCCAAGTTTTCAATGTGTTGTCGTCCGGACTTCGTTTCCAACGTGCAATCGAGTTCCTGAGAAACCAGACCATTCAGATAAACTTGTAACTCTTTTCTTACTTTCTTTTTCTTTTTTCTAATACACATACCCATGTCTATTGGTGGGGGGTGTCACCTCATACTGGGTTGTGGTGGTATTTTGTGACATGTGACTCGTTTCGAAGATCAGACCATTTGGTATAAAGTACCACAAACAACTAAACCACCACTCCATTGGGACCTATTTTGACAAACCGAAAGGTGAATTTACTCGCACAGTGCCTCCGTGAGGGAAAACAATTGTGGTACACTTCGCCAAGTAAAACTTTGTGTGAATGGTTTATCTCAGGAACTGATTGGACATGTGACTCGTTCCTAAGATCAGACCATTTGGTATAAAGTACCACAAAGAATAGACTTTGACGCTGTCTATAATCAACCCATTTGTAAACAGTACAGTTGTTCGTCAATCTTGAAAAATAAAAACAAAAATGGACCCATTTCTTCTTTTTCTTTTGAAAAAAAATAAAAAAATTGGACCATTTCTTGATTTATGCGTGTCATCCTTGAGCAGGGGCCATGCTAATCTTCTCTGTATCGTTCCAATTTTAACGGATGTCCCGTTTCTAAACACCACTTGTTCGTCAATCTGATTATGCTCGGCGTAGCAAAGATCCATTCTTCCAGATCAAACAGTCAGACTCTGCTTCATTTACATTAGTTGAAGCAGGCATCTCCATCCAGGACCATGTTCTGCCATTTACCCAAGAGGAAGGTAGAGATAGCCCACTTAACTGCCCTTCCACTCCTGCAAAAGTCATTTAAACGTTCCCAGGCCTCCTTTGTGTGGTCACTTGAATCTTAGTTAGCTGGCCTTGAAATCTCCGTCCACGGCATTGCCCATCCTGGTGCTCTTCCTTGTCAAAGGATCTGCACTACTCTCTCTCTCTCTCTCTCTCTC